TTCCTTACGGATTCTCCGTGGCTTAGCTTTGAGCATCACCACCATTGCTAAACAACATAGACCTTGCATTTGTTCAAATTAATTGCATGTTGTGTGGTCAAATATTTGGGCATGTTGGAGGCATTTGCCTTTTTTGTTGTGATCAGTGTTGGGGTCATTATTCAAAAAAGTAATTATTACACATTTTAAACAAAAGGAGTCATTACATCTATGCCTGTCCTATTTGGCCAAAAGGTTACGCCCACCTGTAAAGGAACAAGTACTGGTGGGCCAAATCTCTGGCTCTCTCAGTCCTCTGCACCTCATGATTCATGGGAAGACCCACTCTGTCCAAGCGCTTATTGATTTGGGTGTAGAGCAGTGTTTCATTGATAACTCCCTGGCACAAAAATGAAATATTTCCAAACTCAGCCTCGTGCCATCCAGGTCACAGTTTGAAATGGTCAACACTTGCCCGATGTCACTCTTAGAACCAAACCCAAACCCTATCCGTTTCTAGTAATCACACAGAGCGTTTGTAAGGCATTATTTTTGTGCCTCTATTCTGAGCGCACGTAAATAATTTTTGCAAGAACAAATGTTGCATTTTGAGGAGAAAATTATTTTGAGTGAAGAAAAGCTTAATTTGAGTGAAATGTCGATAAATTCAGTGGAGTGGTTTGGTTTAAAATATATTAAAACCAACGATGGTCTTAAAAGATGATATATTTTACAATAAAATAAATTAACATGCTAACCGAAAATGGTTTTAGCTAAACTTTGGACAGTGTTTCCGGAATGTAGTCAATAGCGAGCCGATTGGAGACCACAACAACCAATCGGAATTTTTGCATCCAAGTCTGTGAGTGGTTGGTTTTGTGGCACATTTATAACGGAGTACAGAAAGAGTTGAGCGTGCAGGGAGCAGAGATGTTGAGAGCTGGAGCGACACTCTGAGAGCAGGTCCACAGATGTCTGTCAGCACACAGAGCAGAGATCTGAGCAAGAGCAAATGCCAACAACTGAGGGAGAGGGCTGTAATTGTGCGTGCATATGGATAGTAGCAAACACTGAAATACATTTCTTGCACGGAGCAATGAATTTTGTTCACACAAAATATTCTCCTTAAAATGCAATATTTTTACTTGCAAATTTTTTTTTACGTGCGCTCAGAATAGAGGCACAAAAATAACGCCATAGTTTTGGGCCATCCTTAGCTAGAACTACACAACCCCTGTATTGATTGGAGAAAGGATTGCATCTCCTGTTGAAGTAATGACTGCCACATGAACCATCTAAAATCTGTCACTCTGTCCATTAGCACTCTAACTCCATCACTGCCTCTCCTGATCTGGCAGAGGTGTCCAGGAATCATCTGGCTCTGTCTCTTCCCCCTCACGTATGATTGGAGGAGGATCCTCACTTTCCTGCAACCTCTCCTCCAATCTCGTTTGGTGACCCACACTAATTAGGGATGCTAGAGAGTATGTTTCAGTCTATTTAACCTGTGTGAAGAATAAGTCTGCTAGTTCCCCTCCTGTAGGCCTGCTCAACCCCCTTCCCACTCCAGGGTGTCCCTGGTCTCACATCTTTCCTTAACTTTGTGACTGGTCTGCCTCCCTCAGGTTGAAACACGGTAATCCTCACAATAGACGATGGAATATGCCCACAATTGCCCGACTACCTTGCCCCCCATTCTGTTCCCCTTCGAGGTCTCCCTGGGCTACTACCCACCACTCTTTTCCAGTAATAGAAGGTGAGTACACAGTCCATACATGATCTTTCTCTTAGTGCTTTGGTATGAACACAAAACTGACAACAAAAAGCAAAGATGACAACCAGCACAAAGACACTTCAAAGTGATCGCCACAGTGATTCTACTGTAGAAACATGAGCAGGTAGAAACAGAAGCTGCAGCCTGACGGCACTTAACTAACAATGACATGGGGAGTAAGTGAACTAGGGCTGCAGCTATTAATTATTTAAGTAATCAAATAATTTATTGATTATCCCATATATTAATTGAGTAACTGGATAAGAAGCACTTTTGTCTTAATGGGCAATAATAAATATTCAAAGAGAAAACAAAATGGGTCTTTCAGAATCAATTGCTCACTGCAATTTCTAATGCAGTGTTTTAAAGTTTAACTCCAAACAACTAACAACTAAACTAAACTAAAAACAAATAAACCATTTGATTGTATATATGTGCCATATTAATGTTACATTTTTTTAAAGAAAACATTTTCTTAAAGTTTTTGGGCTGCTGAAAACAGACATTATGATGGTGTAGGCATTAATTAATATTAATAATAATTCAGTCTCCAACCTAAT